TTGTAATACAGTGTGTGCAAACTATTCCTGTACAGTAAACACAACTTCAACTCATCTGACATTTAAGTCTTCGTCAAGGCTGAGCTGAGGAACTGCCAATCAAATAAAAAATAAAACACTATGACATGAAACTATAAGATAAAATTGTACAATAAGATGTGTAGATGTTATTACAGTAATCATCCTTGACTTACACTCCAGGTTTCTGTGCCTTGGCAGAATGCTTTTAGTTGCCACTGAGAATAATTCAAACGTTTCACATTGCTGTGTTAGAACAATTTCTAAGAGCCAATGGGTGTTTTGACTCTGATTGGCTAATTTGGCAACATCTTTAACAGTCGGATTTCAAGCCAGGAAAGCCCGATTAGTTCCACGGACAGATGGACGATTTTACAACCAAACAATTTAAACAATTTCAGTCTGGTGTTGTTTATTAAGACCCCACAAAACCCAAATCTGAGGTCATTTCATGTTATTCGCTGCAGATGGAAATATGGGTGGGAATGCATGAGTATGAGGCTACCTATTGTTTAGGCAACACTGACAGCCAAATGGTGCATTATGATGAAATTCTCAGTGATCAGATATGCTTTGGTTAGGAAGATTTCTTCAGAAGCATTGTTCCTGTTCAAATAACACTTACCGTACATGTTGATCTGTGAAAAAGACAAATTAAATCCTCTTTCATCTCATTGCTTGTCTTCGGCACAGTTATTAATATAAATCCCATATTATCATATCCAAGAGGGATAACCTCTGATCCACCTGTTAGGATAGTATAATTACAAAGATGAACAACCTGGCCAGGTGCCTGAAAACACTGCCCTCTCCTGGACTTGTTGTCATAGTGTGTTCTAAGAGGCCATCATAGTGTTGATCCACCAGATAAAGTCAACTTAAGCCTTCTTTAACGTGTGCCTTACTTCTGTGACAGTGGCATATGAAAGAAAAATAATTATCTGTATCTATCTGAGTCAGCTCTAATAACTATTTTTACAAACTGAGAAGAACAACCTTGGTGTTGGTGAATCGGATTTACACCAGTCCGAGAAGTCGAGATAAACATACGCTGTAAAATTAGTGCACCCAGGGTCATGTCATTGACATATTTAACATCCATACAAGGTTTTTCTGTATCACTTTATTTATGTATTGAGAAAACAATCACGATGATAACACAGAGCCCTGAGGGGCCACTTTGCTTGAAATAACCTCATCAGAGGATCATCTTTATTCCCCTCCTGTCTCTGCGTAACAGCCTGTTGACACCAGAAAACACTCAAGACTCCTATTTACCTCCAATGGAGACTCTTGCTGTCAGAGGAAGGTGAGAGATGATGTTATTCCATGTTTGCTTGAAAGTATAGACCATTCTAGGGCTGAAGCTAACAATTGTTTTCAATGCTGATTAATGTGCTGATTAGTTTTTTTGTTTAAAAGTAGGCCACCATGTGGAGTTTTGGACCACTAGTAGTAGACAAAGCAATGTTTATAGCGACCTATGAGTGGGTCCCAGTTCTGTTGGATGTCCAGGGTGACACCATACACATTCCTGCCAGGGGTTTCTCATATGGAGGACTGATCCTTTGTTAAGAAATAAATACATAAATAAATAAATGCTCAATAAATAAATAAGCATCCTATTAAAGGCACAAAAAATAAAGTTAATAAATAAATGTAGGCAGTAATTAAATTATACAATGAGACATAAATGTATATATCTCTTTTAATTAGCTTCTTTATTTATTCACCTTTGTATTAATTACCTTATTTGTTATTGTCCGTTATAATCTTCAACTTTATTTAATGACTTCTTTTTTAAATGTATTTATTATGTATGCTTTTTAATATTTTTGTCTGTTTTATTCTTCCTTTGCATTTTCTACCCTATTTATTCCCCAATGGTATTTATTTCTGTCTGCTCTTTTACATTTCTCTATGTATTTCTGCCTTATTATGCAAATGAGGAGGGTCTGTGTCTCAAGGGAAAAACTTCTCGCCTATTGGTGGACCAGTCAGACCACAGAGGTTGATTTTATCAACAAGCTTGCTCCTCACACAGTCAGATGGCTTCCTTCAGTGAATTAAAGTGTTAGCAACTCTATTTGAATACAATACAACCAGCCGAAAATGCTTGATTTCAAATCTTTATGTAGTCATAGTTACCCTGAACTCAAATATGATAGACTAGTCATCAACAGGAATTATTTAATGTTTTCCCAGAAAACCAAAATGAAAGAATAAAGTAATTTTCCTAACATTTTAGTGTTTTTTTCACTTTTAAAGGACACATGTAACATGTATGTTTAATACTTCCTGTGAATATAATCCAATTAATCCTATTTTCATACTGTATATATGTTGCGTTAACACCTTATTTTGATGTTGTGTCATATCTCTTTGTGCTAATTTCATAAAGTCGACATAATTTGATAAGTATGTTGTATGAAACTAGTAAATATTATATATTATTAACATTAATGACTTTGCGCATTAACCACTTAATTTCCTGCATTCTGAACACATTTTCTGTACCAATTTATGGAGGAAATGTCTTATATGTATTTATATGAAGGGAAATAAAATTAAGGTGACAGGTGTGACAATTCAAAATATAATGATATACTGGAATATAATGCAGTAATCAGCTTTTGGACAATGCACATTTGTTTAGTCTATATTTCAGTTGCATTGCATGTTTTCTTATTGTGCATTGTTTCATTTGTTATTCAACATTTCTTATTGCAGTTTTTCATTTTTTCAATGTTGATGTGCCGGTACTACGTACCAGTGCGTTCCGGCCCACTTCAAGCACTGGTTCAAACTGAATTTACCACAGGGTCGGATACAAGTGCACTCCAGATTTAGCTGCTACTAGCTGACTGTGTGTTTCTCACGAACAACGGCTCCCTTTACTGCAGTTCTGTGTCCGTGCATGCCGCAAACTGAAACACTGTCTGTCAGAGCGTCCACATGTAGTATGTCTTCAAACAGAGTTGCTATACACCTCAGTTCACTGAAGGAAGCCATCTGACTGTGTGAGGAGCAAGCTTGTATGCAGGTAGAGTCCTCTGCCATTTGACTGGTCCACCAAAAGGGAGAGGCAGAAATAAATACCAGGGGAAATAAATAGTAGGTAGAAATGCAAAGGAAGAATAAAACAAAGACAAAAATAATAAAACACACACATAAATAAATACATTTAAAAAAGAAGTAGGCCTAATTAATAAAAAAGTTGAAGATGATAATGGACAATAAATAAATAATGTAATTATTATAACAGTGAATAAATAAAGAAGCTAATTAAAAAATATATATACATTTATGTCTCATTGTATAATTGAATTACTGCCTACATTTATTTAGTTACTTTATTTTTTGTGCATTTAATCAGATTATTTATTGAGCATTTATTTGTTTATGTATTCATTTCTTAATCTGTCAGGATCAGTCCTCCATATTCTCACTGTTTCACTGATCGACAGGTGGGCAGAAAAGTGCCAACAAAGGCAGTGAAGTAGAAGACTAGCAAACATGGATGTAAACCTTTCTTTAATACAGTCTATGATGTAAACAATGCAGGTTTCAAAACTTTCAAAGAATTGGCTTTGTTTGATGAAGAAGGACGTGCATTCAACATGTTTGTTAGACCTTAATGATTAACACAGTGTGTTTTGGTGAGAAACGCAGAGCATAAGCATGAATTTTGTTTGTTTACAAGAAAACTCCAAGTCCGAAGTGACAACTTCATGGGCAATCTCAGAACATTTTGCACTGGTGTGTACGGTTTCGGGTTGAATGACATGTTTGGTCGAAACTGTGTACAACGTTGCGCAACGTCCTTCCCCGGTTTGGTGGCTGTCACAGGTGTTACTCAATGAGCAGCAATATGTATATAGATACTCCTGTTTCAAAAAAGCGGGTAAGTGCACTGCGCTTGCGCAGCCTACACAACAGGGCGTTCATAGCAACAAAGCAATCCTAACCCTTGCCACGTTTTGTCGGGGCTGAACTCGGCTAAAACTAGAAGATATTTAATTTTATAGTAGCCATACAGACAGGCAGCCATTCCTTACATTTAAAATGGAACCAGATAATGTTTGGCATTTCATCTAAAAAATCTATTATTAAAGTAACTGATTTATTTTCTTAATTATTTTTTGCTTCAGCATTTTAAAAAGGTTGATTTCGGCATTGAGACAGAATTGCTATGCTAATTTTCTGTAGCATTTTCTTTTGTTCAGATTCAGATAGACTTAAGGAAAAACTCTCCCCCAAAATCCCCTTTCAATGGGGGAAAAATGTAAGAAACCTCAAGAAGAGCAACAGAGAATCGGGATGAGTTCCCTCACCCAGGACGGACAGGAAATAGATGTCATGTGTAGGCCGACAGGATCATGGTAAAATTACAGTTAGCCTATGACAATCAGGATGACAAAAGATAAACTCTTAATATATGAAGGATATGGATCTGGGGGGACGTCCAGCAACTTTCAGATGCTACCAAACAGGTAAGACCAGAGCCACAAAACCTCCTCTTCACTTGTTTCTTATCTTAAAAGGTCTGCAATTAAAGCTGTTACTAATTATTCATTGAAAGTATTAAAAATAATTAGCCCATACTGATTATCCATCAAGTCTGGAATTGTTATAAGCTGTTATTCTCATATGTCTTATCATAAAACTGGTAGCAAGTTTTCCTCAAAAAATAAAAAGTGTTTTAGTAGGCTATAATAATTGTTTACTCTACATGGACATCTGCCATGCAGGCTATCTGCCTCGAAGCTGCAGTTTGATGTACCTCCACAAGATGGCAGCAGAGATCACAACATAACTTCATTCAAATGAATTCCAGGTATGCCTTTGTGATTTCAGTCCAATATAAAATACTAGCCTTATTACAATTATTCAAGTGCCTCGCTGAACTATGATTAACACAATAACTCACATTCCTTCAGGGTTTTGAAATAAATCAGGTCAAAGAGTCATTAAACAGATGAGGCTGTTTCCATTGCATCAGTTGAGCGCTCGCCTGTGCCAAAGAGTTCCAGGAAGAAGCTAAATACTTAACATTACCTTAGAGAGGACACTCAACCAGGTACTTTACTGCTAAATCTCAGATCTGCTTCTTCACTTCCTTGTGTTGCTTATGAGGGAAAAACAGGGCAGGGTGACGCTCACCTTTCACCTTTTTCCTGTATGGTCCACGTTGAAGGGCAAAAACAACCCACATAGTTTTCACCTAAATAGTTTGAATTCCTCAATGATATATTGTAATAAATGTGACTGTAGCATTACTGTTTTTTGATTTTATCTTCTACCTTCTCTGGCACTTCATTTTATCTTTTACCTTCAAACATTAGAAACATCCCCTGAAATACCAGCAAAGACTCTCCTCTGTTATTTTTATTTTATCAAATGAGGTTCCGGAGGATCAAGGAAATATCAGATGACACACCGGGTTTCTGTGACATCCATCTACGAGGGAGAACACGTCATGAGGATGTTTGTGAACTGTCTGTTATTTAAAGGTTTACGTGGTTGGGAACTTTAATGATCCTGGATAAAAAGCAAGGATAGAGTTTACACTGAAAATATGATAATTCAGTCTCTTGCTGTATGGCTATCTCAAGCAGCCAAATAACTTAGCTTAGCTAGGCACAAAGACTGGGAACAGGGGGAAACTGTTCTGAAAACATCATATCACAACTGTTTAAATAAAATCAGCTTTAAATTAATCAAACCACTTTATAATTTATCAGTCAATTTTTCATTTCACATCCTATTTTTCAGTTGCCATGCATTTACAACCTCCATTTTGATCAATTAAATTTTGTTACTTCTATCCCTCATAGCCGTCATGACTTTGGCTGTGTCCAGTTTTTATCATACTAACTGCCTGCCATCTTCTTATAGAGTGTGGTATCAATTATCTCATCTAACTGGCAGGAAGAAGGGGAATACACATACGTTATTTCCCAAATTAGATAACTATTTCCTTATCATTAAATCATTGCTGAATGACAAACATACAACTTCCTCACACACCTTCCCACAACCAACTCCCTTCTTAAAAAAACTCCCCCCCCCCCACACACACACTTAACAATCACAACTACATGCCTAACCTTAACCATTACCCTACCCCTAACCTTAACTAGATTCTAACCCTGACCCTAAAACCAAACCTTAACCATAAAACAGTCCTTTAAACTTTTAGAAATTTGGACACCTCAAGGCTGTTGGACCCCACACAGTAAAACAAGCCCACAAACACACACACAAACACATTTCTTTAGATATCCATTACTTGAAATGACTAGTTTTGGGGGCCCTGTTGTCATTCCTGGAGGAGCCCGACTCTGGCAATTGTTGGTTTGGCAGCTTCCCAGCAGCTGAGACATTCCAGCTAACCTGATTCCTAATCTGACTCTTGTGCTCACACACACACACAAACACACACACAAACACAGAAATGTACGCATGCAGGCTGGTATGCGCATGAACACGCACACAGTGCTTACGCAAGCCCTGGCCAGCCATGCCTGGGGTAGTCATAACACACAGACGGTGGAGACATGCCAAGCTCTTATAGGTCAAACAATGACTCACAAGCAGAAGTGGATGAGATAAAAAAATAATATGTGTATTTGAGTTTAAATAGTGCTGGTGTTCAATGTTTGATGAGTTGACTACAAGTTCTGAGGAAAAAAGAACAAGAGTGGCGTATAAGCTCCCCCTTGTGTATTCCAGGAAAAGACACTGACCCGCTATTGACATTTGTGTGTTTGAGGAGTTAAATGTTACATTACGCAAAGGTCAGAGAAAAGTAAACGGTTAGAGGCAGGGATGAAGAGGGAGGGAGAGTTATTTCCCTTGCAAGGATGAAATTGAAAGGGCTGAGGAAAATGAGAAAATGTATTGTTTTCTCTCACGGTGATGAAGAGCTGCGTGGAAAGAACTCTTGCAGGAACACCTTCGAGGCATGCAGTCGAGCTGTGTAATGTGCAGGTGTTTGTATGTGTGTGTGTGTGTGAGAGAAAAAAACAAAACAAGCAGCAGTACTGAAATAATGAAAAAAATGTGATCTTTATTCAACACATCTCCACATATTTCAAATATACATATTTACATCTTTTGTACAATGAATATCTCTTGTGTAACCTGTCTGGACTAATAATAGTCTATAGGTTGTGTCACAAATACATAATTCACAGTGCAATATGAAGTTTGTGCACCCGTGTCAGTTTACTCTACATGTCACATGAATGTGTGACTCACTCTACATGTATGTACTAGAAACAAAACCATAAATCAATTTATTAAATTACTTTTCTGTGAGGAACAATTCAGATTGTCACAAGTCTTTTCCCATCTGGCATCTCAAGCTGAGATGAGATGAGAGAAATTAATTAAAGATCCGCAACAGACGTTTTATTCGCCGACTGTGTGACCCAAAAATTGAATGACAGCGCTTCTCAGATATGCCAGATTTAGTACCGTTGTCAAAATAATTGTGCCAGAATGAAATAGTTGGCTGCAGACCTACAGTAAGACTAAACGTCACTGAAGCGCTATATCCGCATGTCATGATCCAAGATAAAATATCTTTTAGAACGTGGTAGATGTGGTACATAATGCCACTAACTATGATGACTCCATCCAGTAAAATAAAAAATAAAAAGAAAGAATGAAAAAAGTACCATTAAAGAGGTGAAACAGTCAGAACAGATTCTTCCAGCCAAGGTCAGGACCATTCTCTACAGACACACTCGAGTGTTGAGTCATCATCAGACAACCAACATCGAATATCGCCTGACTGCGACTGATTCAGAGCCATTCAGTTTATGAAACACAGTGATACGGGCGCAACACTCAGCACAACTCAGCTTTGTTAAAGCAACACAGCTTGACATAATGTTCCAACAGAAATGAACAAGACAGGTTTAACTGCTCAACTGAGAAAGTCTTCATTTTTCTGTAATGGGTTCCTTAAGACATTTCTTAAAAAATACAAGCATTGTTGAATTGGGAGATAATTCATATTGAGTCAGTAGGAAGTACCATCTGAATTCTCTGTGGATTTTTAAAAAAATTTGTCCACGTAAGTTCTACTGTAGCTCGTCTTCAGGTGTATGAATCAACCATCTCTGTTGCTGCAAAGACATGTGAAGTGTTTAAAACCGAGTTCCTTCCAGCATTTCATTTTAAAGTAGAAGAATTAGTGTTAGGTTTAGCTGTGGCTAATTGCACGCACAGCATTGCCGAACAGATTAGTAAAATTTGCAGGGTCAGACACTTCCACCCTTATATGACATATTCAGCTTTGAGCATGTTTAAAAAGGTAACTGTTTCAGTTTTAACTGTTGAAAATGAGAACGTTTTTGAGATGTACCTTTCTCTGTTAGCCATATACAAAGACTTGTGTTAGCCCAGTGCCACTGCTTATTGTTGAGTGTGTGTGTGTGTGTATTAGAGACAAACTCTGCCCACTTTTCTGTGCGTCTTACATCAATAACACCCTGCCTTTCTCAACCTTCTGTGCATGGTGTGAGATTTGTAAATGCTCTCCATTTGCTGAGACATTGCCAGATTGGCAGTGAAACACCTTTGCAGCGTCCCCGCTGAGTGTGACACATCAGTCCTCTGCTAACCATCTTTCTCACTCTATGACACCGCCTGCTGCGAGACATCAAGCTTGCACTAGGCCTTCCTCGAGCCGATCGGTGAGTCAGCCGTTGAGGCCTCCAGATTGGTCAGAGAGTGAGAGGAACAACATCCCGCTCTCCTCGCCTCCCGTTCGCGATTCATCTAATGTTGTCTTGTGAGTCCAGGCTGAGAGCAAGCATTGGTGACTATTGTTTGCCATGGGTTAATGTTCTGGGATATAGTCAAAGAAACCTGCAGAGTTCATTTTGTTAATATTACCTGGCAAATCCGGAGTCCTATTTCTTTTAGCACCAAATCATTTCAAAAACGCACATATAGAAACACAATGACGATCATTGTGAACAATGCCCTTAGCAAGTAACACACTTACAACAACAAAATACAGTACAGTAAGTTTTTTTAGAAAGCTTGAGGGTGTATGTACACTCAACAGTACACAAATAGGTTTCTAAAAAGTGCCAATGTAAAAAACAACAACGAGTCCCTCGTAGCAATTTTTGTTTTGGTCCCTCAGCCAGACTCAGCTAAATCGAGTCCGTCAGCAGAACAGATCATCATCCTCTTCCACGTCAAACGATGGCACCATCTGTTCCGCCGAAGTCACTTCCTGTTCACCCAGCACCACTTCCCGCGATGAGGGCGGCCGGTGGAACCACGGGTGAGTGAACAGCTCAGTCGCTGTGAGTCTCTCCCAGGGTTCTTTCCTCAGCAGGCTCTGGAGCAGACACTTGGCCTTGGGCGACAAGCCCTCTGGCAAACAGCACTGGCCTCTGCGGATTTTGGAAAACAGTGTAGCCGGGTCTGGGTCATGGAAGGGGTAGCGACCAACCAGCATGGTGTACAGCATGACCCCCAGGCTCCACATGTCGGCCATCTTGCCAGAGTAAGGTGCAGAGCTGCTGAGGATCTCTGGGCTGACGTAGGCGGGGCAGCCGTGGGTCTGACATGGAGTCATCGTTAGGGTCTTCTAGTACACGACAGTCCTCGAGGCTTTCTAGTCTCACTTGTGTCCTATGGAGAAAAAGTCAAAATTAGGTCAGGACATTTTAAAAGATCTTTAATGGCTTAGACAACATGTTTTGTTTTAGTACATAGCAGCTATTATTCAAAAAAACATGTGAGAATCCCCTTTCTATAACTGCAGGTATGTGCTTTAGTTGCACTGTAAATTGGGTAAGCGCTGACTGAGATGTGACGGTATCTAATATCTTACATGGAAAGCAACATTTCACATTGTGGTGAAACCTAATAACTCCCCCCCCCCCCCCCCCCCCCCCCACATGTCAGTAGAAAATTTTTTTGCTGTCACACTGTTGTTGGAAAGTTATGTTCTCGGCGTTCCCATGTACAAAAATATTTAAAGCTCAAGTCGCTCCTTGATCTAGTACAACACTGTGTGTGTGTGTTCGTGTGTGCGCGCATGCATGTGAGTCTATTTCTAACAGTGGCTTTGTTAAACACTGTCAAACATCTTAGAGATCTGTTAAATGTAAGTCACTGATGGCATCATGGAAAAACAAGCATCCTTCCTTTAGCCTTAAGCTGTGCGGCAGACAAATAGATGGACGGACACACACACACACACACACACACACACACACACACACACACACCAGACACCAGTGAACTTACTATGACCTATGAAGTGCACAACAGTGAATCCCGAGAAGCATAGCTGCCTAAGCAAAGCTTCCCAGCACACACATGCTCACATAAACACATATAAATATGAAATATAAATATGAAACTCCTGCAACCTCCTCCTCCCCTACTCACACACACAATCCTAAATAGCCATCTCATTGGTTGAAGAGTTTTTTTAAGAAGGGAGTTGGTTGTGGGAAGGTGTGTGAGGAAGTTGTATGTTTGTCATTCAGGAATGATTTAATGATAAGGAAATAGTTATCTAATTTGGGAAATAACGTATGTGTATTCCCCTTCTTCCTGCCAGTTAGATGAGATAATAGCCATGTTAATGACAGGACATACATTTAGTCCAGCATCAGAGCAAATGTGAGAGTTTATTTGTAGAATGAGACATTTACCACTGAAACGCTCTAAAAAAATTATTGATGGGACAAAGATAAAAAGCATGATGGCAAACTTTTGCTGTTTCCAACGGCAGAAAAATATTACTAAAGGATTTCAACAGTGATTCATTTTCTCCAGCAACAGGCGTGCTATGTTTTTAATTAAGAATTAATTTGTGCCTCTGGAGATTGGCCCCCAAGACTAACACGGTGATTGAGGTTTTATCAAGTCAAATGCACAAACACTCATAAGAAGTGTGCTGTTTTCTCTCACGTTCAGAGGGTCGAGTCCGTGAGACACTTCAGTTGTCAGACAGAGTGGCTGCAGCAGAGAGAGACAGACCGCCAGAGAGAGGATGAAAAGAATGACAACTAGAAGGACCAAGATAGAAAGCAACAGATATTTAAACACCAAGATAGTGGCGGAGACAAGTCAGGAGAGGAGAATGAAGAGCTGGAGACAGAAAAGGAAACAGAACAGAGAGAGTTAGAGGGGTGGAGAGAGTGACTCATCCTGCTGTTGAGAGTACATATCTTTTCTCCTCCTCTCTCTTTCGCTCTCTTTCTTGAGCCGAGGCTATCTGCACCTGGGTCCCACACTTGTGGCGCCAGCCATCCCATAATTACCCTCAAATGGCTGTTGCCACATCAGTGACGCACGGGAAGGCTGGCCCAGCAGTGAAGCTCTGCATGCTTCATAGTGCTAGTCACCTTCCCTAAACTGTCTTTTCCATCTGCACTGTGTGTGTGTGAGTGTGCGCGTCTGTGTGTGTGAATGCAGATAGCATTTGTCAAATTGTTGTGACTTTCTCTGGCTCTGGCTTGAGTGTTGCATTGTTGGCCAGGACATTGCATCACGGCGTGATTGTTGGGGTTTAAAAGATGCCTGATTGTGAATTTAGAAGAATGTTTGACGGAATAAATGAGGTGATACAGAATCACAACATTTCAAGCAGACTTCTCAGTGACTGGACAGAGGCAGCAAACTCAGGGTGTGGAAAAATGATTTTTGGCAAATGAAAAGCCAAATTCCGTGATACACACACCGTCACACAACTATCTAATGCTATCAGCAAAAATCTGCTGCTTTGTATTTCCCGTCACATCACAGTAAAATCATTTGGTGGCCCTACCCAATGACACCAGCCAAAGAGTAAAGAGAAGTTAGTGTTAGGAAACAAGATGTCACCCACAACTTCAGGGTCAAGTGGGTCAGTCTACCAGCATTAATGTTGCAATGTTGCCACCCAGATAACAAAAAGGCATTTGAGGGACCAGAGCTTTACAGCTCTGAATGTTTAATCAGCACATATACAAACATGCATGTATGCTCACACGCACACACACACAGAAAGAAAGAAAATGAGCTACGCAGCCCCCCCCCTCTTCACATATATACTGTGATTCATCGCTCTGCAGCCGTATAGCTTTCAGAGGGAAACAACCAACTTCAACTTCTCTCACTGGCTGTCTGCTCTCATTCATCCAGTTTGACCCTGCAAAACCAGAGGTCATGGCTGGAGAATGTTACTGTTGAAAAGTCTCCACGAAAAAGGGCTTCAGAAAGCCGGGGGGGGGGGGTTGTGTAGCTTACAGGAAAGAGAGTGACGCAAGGGCAAAGAGGCGACAAATAGTTTTGTAAGCAGGGTTTTGTGTATCTTACTGAACAGAATGCAGCACTGAGAGAGATGCAGACATTAAGGAATTTGTGTTTGTGTGGGGGAGTGTGTGGGAGCCAGTTCAAAGCAAAGCGCTTTGAACTACTCCTTCATGGATGGAAGTGTATTTGAATGAATCCTTGTTGGGAGCCTCGCTTATTCTGCAGCATAGTTATGATGTAATGTATTAATAAATAATGAGTAATAAATACATTCTAAGATACAGAACGCAGAAGGGGATGATTGTCTCATTCAACAGCCTCGTCTAGCAGTTCTGCCAAGCTACCACCCACTACATTCACACATGCACATACACACACGCATGCAAAACAAACGCACAACCCGCATACAAAGAGACACATCGAGAGCGAGAAAGGGAGACAGACAGAGAGGGCGAAAATCTGGGAAGCAATGCAGTCTGCCTCCACAAGTACAGAACCTCCTACTCTATCTGTGCCCACATCCCTATCTGCACAAATGGCCTGTGTGTATCAGCTGCTGCCATGTTTTCTCTGTGCCTTCACTGGCACATCCCACTACACTGCATGTATTTAAGTCTGAGAGCATCCAAATAAAGTTACTTGATACTATTAGAACTCTGTGAAATTGAGAATTGTTTTTAAGGATGCTGAACGGGTGGATGGTTAAACAAGGTGTCATCTGACACTGAGCACCAAGATCTGTTTACCTTGAAAGTGCTAAAAGGGATGCACGTCTCACCTTTTTTCATCAGCGAAGACAAACTTTCGCAGTTTGAGGTCACCCAGCACGATGCCAGCCTGGTGGCAGTGTGCCACAGCCAGAGCCACCTGACGGAAGAGTCTGCAGGTGTGCTCCTCATCCAGTCTGCGACAGCTCTTCACCAAGGTGTGCATGTCCCCAAAGTCTTTGTCCAGGAACACATAGGCCTTACGCTCACCGAGGATGATGTCCCTGATGCTGGCCACATTCTTGTGGGCTGGCAGGATCCCGTAGGCTCTGATCTTTTCCTGGTACACCCCCATATCAAAGACCTGGGGAGAGAGAGGAGAGTAGAAGAAGAGGAGAGGGAGACAGGATGGAAATTAGGAAGGGAGATAGGCAGAGAGAGAGAATGTGAGAGGGGGAGGATGCAATGGGTCAGTGTGTTCTTAATGATCATCAGAGGAAACAACCATGCAAATTTGGCAGAGAGTTAAAAAAAGGCTTAGGATATGCTTTGATTCCAGCTCAATACACTGTTTTTGCATGAGCGTGACAAATGAATCACCAAAGCATGACGCGATTAACTTTATTAATCAACAAAGCCAAACGCCTGCAGGTCTATCACGCACAATAAACACATGGGTCTGGAACATAGGAGGGCCCTGTCCTTATCAGAGCAGATCCTTATCATGATAGTCCTTCTTTGTCTCACATGTTTTCATTTTTGTGTGCCACGGCGTGGCGGATTGCAGTGACGTGTATGCAAATGAGCCCAGTTGACAGAGTGTGAAGCCATAGTGCCGATGGTAGGTGGACTGCATTTCCACAACACAGCACAGGCTATGGGGTTGCCTAGTCTCTCACGTAGACCTATTTATAAACAGATTTTAATCAATCATAGAGCCTGGCATAGTTCAAAATTTAAAAATCATGAAGCAACACTGCCAGTGTGACACACTTTGCGTGAGAATGACATTTGGTCGGCTAAATACTGATGACATGTCAGACAGGCTATTGAGCAACGCGGTGTCTTGAAACACCATTCATTCAAAGAAATTGCGCAATGACGGGATTGCGCATACCTTGCACAGTAGCTCATCGCCGGTGTCGGTGTTCATCGCGCTGTGCATGCTCTCCCGGTCCGCCAGAGGTAGAAGCAGAAACGGTCCTATCCTGGATGGCCCCTGGTGGGTTGCCGGGATAGGGGTTGAGACGGGGCTGACCGGGGACCCGGGAGAAGTACCGAGGAGTCCCTGTGTGTCCCCCGCCTCTGCGCTCAGCCTGGCGCATTTAGCCGGCGGCTGATCATCTGAGTCCAGCCGCTTGTGCGCGACTCTCCCGGTGCGGATGCAGGGTGCCGGGCTGCTCCACTGCAAGTTCATCCTGATAGACTGATTGTCCGTGAAAACAAAAACGAGACCCCGACTTGTTTTGGACGCGTCCTTTGATGGTTAAAATAAACTACAAACTGTGCGCTCCATTCCTCCGTGTGAGACTCATTATAGCTGAGATATAAATGAAACTTCAGTTGATTCAGTGACAGCGCGTTTTTTTTGTGTGTGTGGTAATAATCCAACCCACGTCCTTTTGGAGAGTGAATGCCCGTGGCTCTGAGGTCTGTGTACTTTTGGTAAAAAAATCCCTTACAGTCCCGACTGGGAGAGAGATGAGAAAGAAAGAAAGGGAGAGAGAGAGAAAGAGAGACCGCCTCACACTCACAGAGGCAGAGAGTGAGTGAGCTCCGGTGATGTTGAGCTCAGAGCTCAAACACTCCACCCGACCAGTCCAGCCTCCTGGTGACACAACCATTGAGCAATCAACGGCACCGACTCTAGCTCAGCTCTGCCTGCTGTATCACCTTTCACAGAAACTATAGGCCTAAGGTGCAAACATTAATGTTATTTGTGTGTGCGCGCGTGCGCCTGTCATGGTGTCATGAATCTCGAAATTCCTGATTTTGCTGATACTGAAAAAAAAACCTGAGCATGTGAGAGGAATGAAGAAATCATCTGCTACTTATCACGGCTGCCTCACCCAGCTTACACATGCTTTGGACAATAATTAACGATCTTTAAAACTCTCTCTCTGACTCAGTTGTTCCTTAACGTTCCGCTCTTATTGCCATTTATTACCAGCTGCAACAGTCTCTCCGCAGACCTCCTGTATGGCACCTGAAGTGTTTGCTCTCCAAATGTTGTGCCTCTAGTGCGAACTAGCCAGTACAAAGCTTCACTGTATGAGCCTTAACTCTAGCTTTAACATCGCCATGATATTTTCCCATGCTGAGCCTGTTTGTTATGTGGATATGACTCACCCCCATAAAGCCTTCATGGTGCTTGGCTATAAGCATTCACATAAAATATGCCAGCGCGACTCTGTAGACAACATCATAGCAGCTGGGCTCCCAGAGACACTGATCCCAGGTTAAAACTACTTGTATACCCAAATACCACAAGCAAGCAAGTCAGTGCTGTGCAATCTGTGTGAAAATTATGCAATATTCTTGAAAAAAAAAGGATAATCAGTGAACTATGAACTGTTACTTAAGAATGTAAGAACCAGAATTGAAGGTTGAAGTACAGTATATAGTCAGTCTGAAATACATTGCTGTGATGATGAGTGTTGCAGTTGAGCTGATGGTGTGAGGTAATAACAAATGTGCATGTTTGTGTGTGTTTGTCACGGTGTGTACACACACACACACACACGCGTGACCATGTGTGTGTTGCGCAAGGGTTCTCTTTTTCCACTGCTTTATGTTGAACAAGCATGCACAAGAGTGGCTGCAGTAGAGGCTCACTGAGCGTTCACTAAAGCACAGAGCACCAGCTGGCCTCTTTTGCACGACCCCTCCTGCCAAACAGAAGCATGCCGTTCCGAACCATTTCTTTTCACATTTCCAACACAGTTCCTTCCACAAGAGGTCACACACTTAACCAGGTCGCAGCAGCTCGGCTCAGCTTGACTGAAAAAGGTCATGTGAACGTGTCTCTGCAGGTCGTCCAAATATGGATGAGCTGCACATCTCAAAGGAATGATGGCTTGTTATTTTTAGGCCTCACATTCTTTCTTTTTGCAGTGGTCGTATTATGAATAAGGTGACTCACCAACTGAGTGATGTATGTGCATCTCTGTGAGCAAGTGTGTTTGTCATGCCGTCGAGCAGGCACAGGAACAGGTTTCCTCTCACTCTGTCCAGTTCAAAAAGCAGGATGAACAGTCACTGTGGGAATGGGCTGGCAGAGCAAGGTAAATGGTTTATTGTTACCTGACAATAGTCCATCATAGTGATGATGCATGTATGTCGCTTGTTTATGTGAGACGCATTGTTTCGGTATACAGTGGAAACAGTGACTCGTTTGTGTGGACTATGATATACACACAGTGTTTGCGTGTGTGTGAGACATGACAGTTTGTTCCAATGTAATTCATAGTTTATGTTGGAATCATTACACAAGGTCACACCATACTACATGTTTAGGTTGTACGTTACTCTTATGCAAGATCCTTTATGTGCAGGTTGTAGCATTATATAGCTGGTAAGCCAATGTGTACCTCATACTGAATGGGGGTGTGTGTTATGTGTGTGTATACGGTGCCTGTGTAGGAGTGTGGCTGCATCCCCCTGCCAGTGAGCTAGAAGAGAAAACAGTATTCAGGGCATGCTCTCCCTTGTTATAATTAGCTGAGTCACTCACCACCAGCAGCGGTGACGAGAGGCTGGGAATTGATCAGCTCTGAGAATAGTTCAATCTGATCTTGCTGACAGCCAGCGCATCATACTGTTAATTATTCTTCATTTGAGCTGCTCTGAACAGAGCTGCAGACTTGAGACTAGAACTCGAGTCAGATGTGCAGGTAGTTGTGAACAACAGGACTTGCAACTTGACATGAAAGTAATTGACTAATGATTCTCTTGAAGATGTGTACTGGAAGATGAATGTAGGAAAATACTATGCAAAATGTACCTCATCTCTGACCTCACATCTCTGCAAAGACAGACAATCAACATTTTCATAACTGGTGAGCAAAACTATGGCAAATATGGTAATTATTGTAATTACAGCTGACCCCTTTTCTTAGCATCTGAAAAACGTCACTTGAGGAAAGAAGGAAGTAATGGCACTGTATGCAACAGTAGTCTTTTTACAAGTCCATCATCTTCCTCTATTGGTATAATACTGACTGCTATCACTTTTTTTCTTTTATGAATTTTGTAAAGTAGAAACTTGTTTTCTGTGAATGTCTGGTTGCCTGCCATTACCATTGTGTCTTTGGACAGCTGACAATGTTCTATGAATGTAGAATTAGAGTGTGGGAGATAGAAGTGGGCCACTGGATATTCAACTGTATGCTAGCAATAAAAATATAACATTTCTATTCAGTCTGGGTGTAAATTCTGCCTTTAGAACAAAAAGAGGTCTAATATAACTTTTTATAACCATTCTTCTCTCTTCTGTACATTTTGCCATAAGCTTGTAGACACTGTGAACTGAATGAACTCCAGGGTGGAGGTCTCATCCAAAATTAGTCATCAGCCCGCTATAACTATCTCTACTCTATATTTTCACAACCCTGGCTGACCTCAAGGACAATCAATCAAACCAGGAGCTGAGATGGGGATTGTTTCATGTGGATGGACTCCAGACTGTAGTCTGGCCAAAACATTCTGCCTTCCTTTGCTAGTTATCTGTCCATCATTGTTTCTTTGATCTGTTAGGTTGAGTCAGGCTTGGTTAGATTAGAGAGACGCGGTACTTGGCAGTTTAATACATACTTTCAATCTTCACAATATGTTGTGCTCAGATTTTACAGCACATGACCACTAATTGTTTTGACATGGGAACACACACCTACACATTGTTCCCCATAGAAAACATTTGTTCTCACATAGGGGGAGTTGTCATGTTTGCACATACTCAGCACAAAGACTTCCTTAAAGGTCTTCTGAGAAATTGTAAAGTTTTAGCTAAAAATAAAATTCTTCATCTACTGTAAGTATTGTGTTCACATGAAGTGGCCGTCCTAAAAGCTCCCAGCTGTTTCATAGAACTGACCTTCATTTTAACCCAAGAAAGAAAATACAATTTAAAACTGAAACTGAACCGAAATGTTGTGTAATGAATAATGGTGGTGGAATGTGGTGACACAGGGATCACAATGCATTTTCTGCGGGTGGAGATGCTCCCTTTATTATTTTAACCAGAAGAATATCTAATAGTCTTCTGTTGACAAATGTTGACTGACGTCGCCAGTGCTGTTAAACTTATCTGTGGTATGAATAATATGTTCATGATCACATTACCTGGTTGGTTGATGATCTTTATGCTTCAAAATGACAACAAGATGAACAAGGTGAAACGCAACACTAGATGTTCCATCATGTTTAATGTAGATTTAACATGCAGAAATTGATCCTCTAAATGCTTTTTTAACTACTCACTCCTGATATGTGCGGAAATGATAAATTTTACTTCTCTTATCTGGAGACCATAATTACTGTAAAATGAGTGACGAAGGGAAACATTATATTCATTTTGCAGACCAAAGGGAACTACAGCGACTGCACTCAAATTTAATAGGAATAGGAACTTGAGCTAGATCATCAAAAAGAAAAAGTAAACAATAGCAGCCTCTATTAATATCACGAACACATGATTTAATTGAAATGGCCACTTTGATCAGTTAATGGATTATATTGGATGACTGAAATTATTCTGTACTGTTGCGCGGCACTGCAGTAGTTACAAAGATAACAACACAATGTATTAATTCCCATTGTGACCCTCAGAAATATAGACAAAACAAACAATAATACCAGACAAATGTTGTACATTCAAAGAGCCTAGCTCTGATATAAAGCAGGCTAAAAATGAAACCACCATCCTTTCAAGGCCACTTTTAAGATGCTCTCTGATGTTTTTAACTTTCTAACTTTGTAAAGAAGTATTCCATTGTGCTACAAGATTGAGGAAATGCAATTTTACCCATTCAATTCAAAGTGAAAAAGTATATTGTTTTGTAGTTATGTAGTTCTCTTTATGAAATAACACAATTTCACTGGAAATTCATCAAATACGACCTATCCTCCTCAGTCCTTCATCAGTAGAATTTCACTTGAAAAGATCAGCTCACTTCCCTTCATGTCCTAAGAACATAATTTCATAACTTCGTCTTTATCCGTCACTCATCAACACATGATTTCACTGAAATAGTTTGCCTTACACTCAGAACTCCACTCCAGGATGACTCAAGGGGTTTCCTGTTGCTAATGGGAAGTGAATGGCAATTGTGTGTGTGTGTGTGTGTGTGTGTGTGCACGCTGTGGCCACAACCCACACACACACACACACACACACACACACACACACACACACACACA